AAACTCAACAGCGTAGGTAGATAATCTCCTTTTATTCTCTCCTATTAGCCAAATGTATTAGACAGATCTGTCAATAGTTACCATAACAACCACTTTCCTTACTTGTAAATAAATGCATCCAAATCACCAGGAATTGAGATGAAGAAAGGAAGAATTGAGAACAAACAGCTCACAGAACAGAAATACATTTTCATATGTATTAAAAATGAAAGATTAACTTCCTCTGAATGCTATCAGATTACCTGTGCAATAGAATATTGATTTACTAGCAAAGATGAAACTATGCCAGCTCTCTGTGTCATGCCACAATGCACAGACTTCTTTTGGAATGGGACACTTTGAAAGGCATCTCTCCAGAGCATGTTGAAAGAACAAAAACGGTATGGGAGAATTGACCTTATACATCATTCTAAAAAAAAAAAGGTTTGTGGCATTTTCAAAACCTTTTATAAATAAGAATGGATTTATGTGAAAACAAATCTCTATTTTTAATTTTTGGTGTCTCGTTTTTCTTTGGTTCTGTTCATTCATTTTCTTGTTTCACACTTTGGGAATGCTTTATGATGTTTCCTCTTTTTGTACAATAATTACCAAAAATTTGCAGAATTAATTAATATAATCAATTCTTTCATATACACAGCTGTAATCAAATGGTCTTTCTAATACTAACCGAACCATCTACAATTCTTAATTTTCTTTTAGATTTCTTACACTGCAAAAAAAAAAAAAACTACAAAATTAAGTCCTGAGTTTTCATTTAGTCCTGTCTTTCACTCTTGCATAATGTTGACAATTCTAAAAAAAGATTTAATGACATATCTTGTATGTGCACCTTCAAACTGGAGCATTAGCTAACTGAAAGGCATGAGGCGTATACAGATATGCATCATATGAAAATATAAAAAAAAATTTTTTATATTATTGTAGAAAAAACAAATTTGACTAAAATGGTGTTTAGATTTTGGCCATCTTAACTGTTTATTTGTGCTATCATCTGCTATGCTGCAAAATCAACGGCTGGCACCTCAAACTTAAAGGGACACTCTAAAACCCTAAATAACTTTTATGTGCGAAGAGTATGACCTCTTTTTTTCTTTTTTCAATATATCATTATTATTAAAGTTTTGCATAGAAAAACATACAAGAGTTTCAGGATCCAATCCTGACAAACAAGACATTTTGTTCTGCTTATTCTGTTCATTTAAAAACTTAGTTTCTACACTGATTTTATTTGCTACCAGTGACCTTCCTAACCACTAGCACAGAGATTTCCATCTCATCCTCACTGGCCTGGACTAATTCAGATCCTCTAAAAGGTTCCATCCAACTCACCTCATGGCCTTGACATTTAAGTTGATGATTTGCCTGAAAGACTTCAAATCCTGGCTCCTGTGTTATAACCTGTGGACTCACCTTATTGGCTTCAAAACCTGCTTTACTTACCAACCTGCTCCAGACTTGCCTGAAAAACCCTAGATTTCTGCTTTATTTACAATCCTGCTCCATACCAGCCTGAACAACCCTACATTCCTGCTTTATTTACAGTGCTGCTCCATACCAGCCTGAACAACCCTACATTCCTGCTTGACTTCCAACTTGCTTAATTCTATACTGGACTTTAATTTATTACTTTGTGACTATCTATGTTACTCCTACATTGGATTTACAAACATTCCAGATAATATTGGAATGTTTTTTTATTGTGTTGTGCCCAGTGGATTAAGTTAATAAAATGCCTGGTGTTGTCACCCACTTGCTTCCCTGGTACGAACCCCGCTTGTTCCTCTGAGATTAGATTAGGTAATATACCCTTTAACTTAGTCACTAATAGTTTTCCATGCACTTTAACGCCAGCATTTAATAGGGATATCGGCCTAAAGTTGGCGCTCTCTGTTGGGGGTTTGCCTGTTTTCGGCAGTGTCACTACATGCACCTCTAACATTTCCTTTGGTATTGTGCCCGATTGTTTAATATCATTAAAGAGTTTGGTGAGGCGGGATGTCATCTCAGATATCAGTGTAATATAGTAGTAGTTAACGAAACCGTCTGGGCCCGGTGCCTTATGTTTTCGGTAGTGAATGAATCGCCCTCCAAACCTCCTCCTCCGTGAATGGGGCCTCTAAATTGTCTATTTGGGTCTGCATCAGGTGGAGCAAGTCTATGCTGTCTAGAAACTGGTCTACGTCGTTTTTAGTAGGTTGGGGTACATTCGGGTCCTCCTTAAGATTATAGAGAAAATAATAAAAACTAGCTAACCCATCTACAATGTTTTGTGGGTTATATAATTTCTGGTTTTGGGCCGTGTAGATAAATAGTATCTTAGCCTACAGGTATTTGGTCTTAAGTTTGATCGCTAACAATTTACCTGACTTATTGCCTTGTATGTAATATTTTACCCTGAGTGCTCTCATTCTCTTTTCAGTAACCTGCAGATCTAGGTCCTGCAATTTAAGAGTGTGTCTTTTATTTGTTTTGAGATCTGTTTGGATGATTTTCTTTTATTCAATGTTTCTAAATCTTTAAGTTCCTGTGTTAAGGATCTTCTGTTATCTGTTGTCTGTTTTTTTAGGGAAGCACCTCCTTGAACAAATGTTCCCCTGAGTCCTGCTTTATGAGCTAGCCATTGAGTTTTTATGGATGTGCTGTCATTATCATTGTCCCGGAAGTTGTTGACCACCGCTTTCTTTATCATCGGCATGACTTTAGGATTACCTAGTAGTGCTTCATTCATTTTTTATTTGCCCCTGCCCTTGGTTGGGTACAAAGCTCGAGGGTCACTGTTATTGGAGTGTGGTCTGACCATGTTCTTTGCCCTCTTGATATGTCTAGTACAGGGGCTCCCAACCTGTGGAATGCGTACCCTCAGGGGTACAATACAGCTCTCCTGGGGGAACTCCAAAAAATTTCAGTAATGGTGGAGTTAACTACCGCAGGGCTGATTCTGGACCACTTTCTGGCTCACAGGTGTCCTTTATACAGGTAACGAGCTGAGATTAGGAGCACTCTCTTAAAGGGAGTGCTCCTAATCTCAGCTCGTTACCTGTATAAAAGACACCTGTCCACTGAAGCAATCAATCAATCAGATTCCAAACTCTCCACCATGGTCAAGACCAAAGAGCTGTCCAAGGATTTCAGGGACAAGATTGTAGACCTACACGAGGCTGGAATGTGCTACAAGACCATCACCAAGCAGTTTATGTGTGGAGGTGACAACAGTTGGTGCGATTATTCGTAAAAAGAAGAAACACAAAATAACTGTCAGTCTCCCTCGGTCTAGTGCTCCATACAAGATATCACCTCATGGAGTTTCAATGATCATGAAAACGATGAGGAATCAGCCCAGCGCTACACAGGAGGATCTTGTTAATGATCTCAAGGCAGCTGGGACCATTGTCACCAAGAAAACAATTGGCAACACACTATGCCATGAAGGACTGAAATCCTGCAGCACCCGCAAGTTCCCCCTGCATCTGAAGTTTGCCAATGAATATCTGAATAATTCAGAGGAGAACTGGGTGAAAGTGTCGTGGTCAGATGTGACCAAAATCAAGCTCTCTAGTATCAACTCAACTCGCCGTGTTTGGAGGAAGAATGCTGTCTATGACCCCAAGAACACCATCTCCACCGTCAAACATGGAGGTGGAAACATTATGCTTTGGGAGTGTTTTTCTGCTATGGGGGTATTCCAGCATGATAATGACTCAAAAAACACAGCCAAGGCAACAAAGGAGTGGCTCAAGAAAAAGCACATGAAGGTCCTGGAGTGGCCTAGCCAGTTTTCAGACCTTTATCCCATAGAAAATCTGTGGAGGGAGTTGAAGGTTCGAGTTTCCAAACGTCTGCCTCGAAAACCTTAAAGACTTGGAGAGGATCTGCAAAGATGAGTGGGGCAATATCCCTCCTGGAATGTGTGCAAACCTGGTGGCCAACTACAAGAAAAGTCTGACCTCTGTGATTGCTAACAAGGGTTTTGCCACCAAATACTAAGTTTAAGGGGTCAAATACGTATTTCACTCATTGACATGCAAATCAATTTATAACTTTTTTGACATGCGTTTTTCTGGATTTTTTTTTTTGTCTCTCGCTGTTAAAATACACCTACCATTAAAATCATAGACTGATCATTTCTTTGTCAGTGGGCAAACATTCAAAATCAGCAGGGGATAAAATACTTTTTTCCCTTCACTGTATATGTGTGTCTCTGTATCTGCATGTGTGTCAGTGTTTGTATTTGTACCTATGTAAGTGTGTCATTGTTTGGATCTGTGTCTCTGTACATCTGTATGTGTGTCAGTGTGTGTGTATCAGTGTGTCTTTGCATCTGCATGTGTGTTAGTGTCTGCATCTGTGTGTCTATGTATCTGCATGTTTGTCAGTGTGTGTATCTGTATCTCTGTATCTGTGTGAATGTGTAACTGTTTGGATCTATGTGTATCTGTGTGTCTGTGCATTTGCACATGTATCAGTGTTTGTTTTTGTGTCAGTGTTTGTATATATGTCGTTGTCTGATTTTTGTGTCTGTATCTGTATGCATGTCACTTTTTGTGTCTGTGCATCCACATGTATATCAGTGTCTATATCTGTATGTGTGCCAGTTGTTTGTATCTGTGTATCTGCACGTGTGTTAGTGTGTGTATTTGTGTGTCTGTGTATCTGCATGTGTGTCAGTGTGTCTATCAGCAACGTGAGAAGCAGGGGGAGCCTGGGGCAGCGGTGGAGCTGAGGAGCTGGGGAGCCTGTGGCACAGAAGAAGCAGGGGGAGCCTGGAGCACAGGATAAGAAGAGAGAGCCTGGTGCAGAGAAGAAGCAGGAACAGACTGGGGGCAGAGGAGAAGCAGGGGATCCAGAGGCAGAGAAAAAGGGGAGACGGGGTGGAAAAAACGTATAAATTTGAAATAACATCAATTATATTAATAACAAACTTTTCGCTAATATGAGGGGTACAATTTATGGAAATGGTCTTCCAAGGGGTACTCAAGTGAAAAAAAAAGGTTGGGAACCACTGGTCTAGTATATTGGTCAATGTTAATTTGTCATATGATTGAAAGTTGTATGCCGTTTGTCGCTACTTGCATATTGTTTATCATATTGTATATTTAAACTGCCTTCTGCGCAGCCACCGCCTACACCCTCCCTGGGGTTCGGGCCCTGGCTGCGCGAAATTAGGGGATAAAAACCCACATTTCAAACCTTATTACGAGTTAGCATAAGAAAACACAAGCCATACTATAAGAAACGCTTTTAGAATGATAAGTTTACAAACTAGATTACAGGCCAACGTTCTGGACAACCAAGACCCCGTAACCCCCTAGAGGTGTCGCAGAGAGCACGTAGGACTCACACAGAGCCTAGCGCGCTAGACACCATCTGGTAGATGCATGTTACCCACATGCTCATTGTACATAACATCCCAAGTTTACAACCCCCCATACATCCCCCTGACCCCCGAAGGTACAAGTGTAAGCATTACCACCCAGAGAAGACACACCATCACTACCACCTGACCTCCAATGGCTGATCTCAAAATAATGTCCCTAAATGTTAGGGGACTTAATACTCCAGAGAAACGTACAGTACTAACCCAAGAAATAGACAGGCAAAGGGCTGATATCGTTTTCTTACAGGAAACGCATTTAAAGGGGGATCAAACCCCTAAACTAAGGGCAAAAACAATAGGACAAGCATTCTTCAGCAACTATCATGGGGGCAAAGCAAGAGGAGTAGCCATCCTAATATCACCACGCATAGTCTTCACCCCGAGGGAAATCAAAACAGACCACTTGGGAAGATACCTATTTATCAAAGGCACATTGAATAACACACTGGTGACACTAGCAACTATATATGCCCCAAATATCAAACAAGTATCGTTTGCCAACTCATGTCTTAGGAAACTGCACAAATTTGCAAATGGGATAATAGTTTTAGGGGGAGACTGGAACATGGTTCTAGACCACTCTACGGACAGCTCCACAACCAGTAGAGACACACAGATACACCAAAGGGCTCTATTTCAGAGATCCCTCCATGCCCACCAGCTGGTGGACTGCTGGAGAATATCCCACCCACAGGAGAGGGACTATAGCTATTATTCACAGGTGGCTCATAGTTATTCCAGATTGGATATGTTCTTCTTAGAACATAGGCACTTACACCTGTTAAAGGAAGCATCAATTGGCCACATCACGTGGTCAGACCATGCCCCGGTGTTCCTCACACTATCCATTACAGGAACATGCACACCCACCAACAAATGGCGGTTAAATGAATCGCTCCTGGACGACCCAAGAGTGACTGATGACCTCAATAATTCCCTCCCTAGATACTTCCTAGAAAACAAAAACAAAGACACCGCAGACACCTGGGTATGGGAGGCACACAAAGGTATCACCCAAGGCATACTGATCAAGTGGGGTGCACGTATCAAAAAAGAACGCCAAGCAAAGATCAAATCACTCACAGAAGCAATAGCTAGAGCAGAAATGGAACATAAAACCGACCCCTCAGTGGAGGCGTATAACAAACTAACGGCATTGAGAATGGATCTACGCAATATCCATACGATGCAGGCACACAGAGCAGTACTTCTAACCAGGGGAACATACTATGCACATGGTAATAGGAGTGGGAAGTTCCTGGCCAGAGCCCTAAAAGAAAAGCACCAAAAAACATACATATCCCACATAAAGGCGCAAGACGGTACACGCAAAGATAAAACCGAGGACATAGCCAAAATCTTCCGGGAATACTATAGTAACCTATATAACCTAGAGCACCAGAGAGGTCCTTCCCATGACATTAAAACATACATCTCCTCCCATATCCAAAAAACAATAGACCTTCACCAGTCAACCATATTAGACTCCCACATCCAGCTGGAAGAATTGCAGCGAGCAATTAAAACACTTCCTAAGGATAAAAGCCCGGGACCAGATGGCCTAACGGCCAGATATTACCAATCTTTCCAACACATCCTATCTCCCCACTATCTAGAAGTACTTAACAATCTGCTAACCACTACCGAATTACCACCCCCGATGCTGAAAGCATCGATAACAATCCTGCCAAAACCCGGCAAGGACCAGAGCCTGTGTGGTAGTTATAGACCCATCTCCCTAATTAACCTTGACGTTAAACTGCTTGCAAAAATCCTTGCCAACCGACTCAAGACACTACTGCCTGACCTGGTCCATACAGACCAAGCGGGTTTCATCCCGGGCAGGGAGGCGAGAGACAATACCACAAGAATACTCAACCTCATACATGTTGCCTCTACCACCAGGGAACCAACAATACTCCTCTCGGTGGACGCCGAAAAGGCGTTCGACCGAGTAGACTGGATCTTCCTATTCACCACCCTTGAAACCATAGGAATCGGCCCCAATTACATACGATGGGTGAGAACACTATATAAAGGACCATCAGCCACAATTGGAGTTAATGGGCAAGACTCTCCCTCCTTTGCCATAGGTAATGGCACAAGACAAGGGTGCCCTCTGTCGCCACTGCTATTCGTTCTGGTGATGGAACCATTTCTAAACGCCATCAGGGCAAATGCCAACATTAAAGGCATCAGGGCAGGGGAACAGGAAGTAAAAGTATCTGCTTTTGCAGATGACGTACTCCTAACACTCACACACCCTGAGCGCTCCCTCCCGCATCTTCAGAGCGAAATAGAACACTTCAGTACATACTCAAATTTCAAAATAAACGCTGATAAATGCGAACTAATGGGCATAAACCTAAAACCGACCCAACTCAAACACATAAACCACAATTACCCTTATCGATGGGCAAACACAGGCCTCACATATCTAGGCATCAAACTCGCACCCACAACGACAAGCCTCTATAGAATGAACTACATTCCCCTATTGGCTAACATTAAATCACAACTCAAACACTGGGACAAACCTCACTTCTCCCTTTTTGGAAGAATCAACATCATTAAGATGATGATACTACCAAAAATTCTATATACATTTCAAACGCTCCCTATCGAGCTCGGATGCCAGTTCTTCCACACGCTGAAAAACATCTTCCTTACGTTTGTTTGGGGAAATAAAAAATCCCGACTGGCATATGAAATACTTGTTACGGTTGCCTCCAGGCTGGCTGGAAGTTGGACCGTAGAAAAGGATGCTCCTAGCGCTCACCAAAGGACCATCAGCACCGTAGACACCATAACTACTGCGTAGCCACCATAAGTACTGCAGACTCCACGAACCACCGCTGCTGGGCTGGTATCTCGCCGTCTGCTCTGTGCCCTGGACCCACGACCAGGCTCCAGGTTCCAGTAGGTGAACCTCTTCCTTCTGCAGAGCGAAGCAGGATCAGGAACAAGAGCTCTTACAAGAGCTCAGTAGCTAAGGGAGTATGAAGAGCATAGCAATCCCTGTAGTGATTATAGCTGTCCCCTACAAACATGAGTCAAGGCTGCAAGTTAGAGGGTCAAGAAGATCTGAGGTGCTGGCACACCCAGCCTGGTTTTTATTACAGTCTTGCAAATACAGGACCGCCCACAGGGAGGTATAAAACAACCAATAATAAATGTACATTACAGAAACACTCCCAGCAATTACACACAAAACTCCTCCCCTCTGCCTGTGATCTAATTATGTTGCACAATGGGTTAACATAATTAAACACAGGCAGTAAAAATACAGTTTTTATCCATGTACTATAACTTCCAAACTACACATCCAATCTTCATAAAAATACATATTTAGAATCAATCCATTCAGGGGAGCAACATATTAAAAACTGGCACAAATCAGACAAGGGGTTCAAAAGTTAGCAAAAGTATCTTTTGGGGCCTAGCTGGCAGCATGGTTTTCTGGCCCAAACCGGATTTACAGAGCCCTCTATCCTGGACAATGGGGAAAGTAATCCAATTATCCAGGGATAGAGGCAGACTCCATTAACCACATGTCAGCAAAAGACACAAAAAGACACAAAAATACATAACTCCTATTGAACTGAACAGAACCCCCACATTCAACCTATCCCCAGATGGCTTGGATCTGAGCGCTCAATATATCCAAACAGCGCTCAGATCCCACAAATACAGTCAAATCGCCATACACACTAGGTCCATAGTCATGGGGCAGAAGGCTGGCAATTAGGCTTCTCCATAACACAGGGAAGCAGGGCAATTTGTCAAATAACATAACAGTTACAAATGGCAGTTTGTAACATATCTCCCCTTTTGGAGGGAGACTAACCAGGCACCTGACCTTCTGTCGGTCAGTGCCTAAGTTAGTCTCGCAGCCCACCCACAAATAAACATTGGCAGAGTAGCCCCCCCACAATAAATAGTACTGGCCTGTAGGTTCCAGGTTGCAGGACAGTCCTGTGACAAGGGAGTTGGTAGGGCAGAGGCCAGCGGCGCTCTGTCCTGATGCCAGCTCTTCTGCTGGGGTGAGGGGGTTGCAGGCCAGTCCTGTAATAAGGGGGTCGGTAGGGCAGAGGCCAGCGGCGCTCTGTCCTGATGCCAGCTCTTCTGCTGGGGGAATTGGGGCATAGTCCTGCCCGGTGGCAAAGGGAACGTGGGGGTTGGTGGGGGTTGCCATCTCACCCGTTAACCCTGGGCCCAAGTTAGGAGTTGGCTGGGGAGGGGAGAATTGGCTTACCTCCTCCTCCTGATACTCCTGCGGCCGCTGGGGAGGGAGGTCGATGCTCTCCGCTTCCTGTGGAACATGCTGGGGCTGGGGAGAGAGACCGGTTGTCTCCTCTCCCTGGAAGGCACACTCCGGCTGGGGAGAGAGGTCGATGCTCTCCTCTCCCTGTAGCTGGGTCTGCCGCTGGGGATCTGGGCCGCCTGCCCAGCATCCCTGTAGGGCCGGTAGAGAGACTACGGTCCCATCTTCACCTGCCTGTTGGGGGTCCTCCCAGGACCAGTCTATGAGGTCTGCTGCCTTGGGTACCTCTGGTTGGGGTTGGGGAAGGAGACCGGTTGTCTCTTCCCTCTGCACGGTGCACTGCCGCTGGGGAGAGAGGTCGCTGCTCTCCTCTCCCTGTAACTCAGGCTGCCGCTGGGGAGGGAGGTCGATGCTCTCCGCTCCCTGTAACTCACCCAGGGGTTGGGGATCTGGGCCGACTGCCCAGCATCCCTGTAGGGCCTGTAGAGAGACCTCGGTCCCATCTCTACCTGCCATCAGAGGTTCCTCCCAGTATACCTCTACGATATCCTTCCAGCTGAAGAACTCTCGATCTGGCTCTGCTGCTGTGCTCTCTAGGGGGACCTCTGGATGCTGTTGAGGAAGGGGACGGGTTGTCTCTTCCCGGGACCCCTGGATGATGTGCTGGTACTTCCACTCCAGGTCACATTCCTGGGTGACTAGATACCGCAGGTCTGCTTCCAGGCCAATAGCTCTAGGGAGTCCCAGCTTGTCTTCCCGGTCATCATACAGGTCCCAGAAGCGTGAGTCTGTAGCCCTTCCAAAGTCATCATCGTCCATATTCTCCCAGAATAGATCAGGGCCATTGTAATCCCCACACTCAGGGAATTCATACTCAGCTATCTCTGGAACAAGCTGAGTCGCGTACCACTGTAGCGCCTGGTATGCGTTGTCGAGCCACAGTTCACTGTATACTAGATCCTCTAGTTTAGTCACCCACACTGGAAGGGGTTGTTTGCCCAGGAGGGGCATCCGCTCTGCCATTCGAGCCTGGATTTGCTGCCCTCTGCTGATTCTACGATCACCTCGCCAACGCTGAACTTCCTGTAGGGCTTCTTCCCACAGCTCGGCTCTGGCCTCACTTCTGTACCCACACATCTCCTCTTCTGAGACTACCCCATCTTTCCAGGATAGGAAGCCATGCAATCTGTCGAGGAACCTCTCCTCCATTTCGGCTGCTGTGCACGGACTTGCTGGCTCCATGCTGCTCTAGGTAGGGACGCTGCGCAGTGGCTAGCGTTGCCCTCAATACTCTCTCATACGATACCAGTGCTGTTGGGGTGCTGCTCCTTGCGCTAGGACGCCATCCCACCGCTTGCCACCAAATGTTACGGTTGCCTCCAGGCTGGCTGGAAGTTGGACCGTAGAAAAGGATGCTCCTAGCGCTCACCAAAGGACCATCAGCACCGTAGACACCATAACTACTGCGTAGCCACCATAAGTACTGCAGACTCCACGAACCACCGCTGCTGGGCTGGTATCTCGCCGTCTGCTCTGTGCCCTGGACCCACGACCAGGCTCCAGGTTCCAGTAGGTGAACCTCTTCCTTCTGCAGAGCGAAGCAGGATCAGGAACAAGAGCTCTTACAAGAGCTCAGTAGCTAAGGGAGTATGAAGAGCATAGCAATCCCTGTAGTGATTATAGCTGTCCCCTACAAACATGAGTCAAGGCTGCAAGTTAGAGGGTCAAGAAGATCTGAGGTGCTGGCACACCCAGCCTGGTTTTTATTACAGTCTTGCAAATACAGGACCGCCCACAGGGAGGTATAAAACAACCAATAATAAATGTACATTACAGAAACACTCCCAGCAATTACACACAAAACTCCTCCCCTCTGCCTGTGATCTAATTATGTTGCACAATGGGTTAACATAATTAAACACAGGCAGTAAAAATACAGTTTTTATCCATGTACTATAACTTCCAAACTACACATCCAATCTTCATAAAAATACATATTTAGAATCAATCCATTCAGGGGAGCAACATATTAAAAACTGGCACAAATCAGACAAGGGGTTCAAAAGTTAGCAAAAGTATCTTTTGGGGCCTAGCTGGCAGCATGGTTTTCTGGCCCAAACCGGATTTACAGAGCCCTCTATCCTGGACAATGGGGAAAGTAATCCAATTATCCAGGGATAGAGGCAGACTCCATTAACCACATGTCAGCAAAAGACACAAAAAGACACAAAAATACATAACTCCTATTGAACTGAACAGAACCCCCACATTCAACCTATCCCCAGATGGCTTGGATCTGAGCGCTCAATATATCCAAACAGCGCTCAGATCCCACAAATACAGTCAAATCGCCATACACACTAGGTCCATAGTCATGGGGCAGAAGGCTGGCAATTAGGCTTCTCCATAACACAGGGAAGCAGGGCAATTTGTCAAATAACATAACAGTTACAAATGGCAGTTTGTAACAATACTCACACGGGATAAAAAGAAAGGAAGTATCAGACTACCCCATATGTACAACTACTACATAGCAGTCCTTTTCACTAGACTCAGGGAATGGATAGATACAAAGCACAAAAAAGCGTGGTACGACATAGAACAAATGTATGCACAGGCCCCTCTACCATCCCTCCCATGGCAGACATGCCAACTTCAGCAGCTGACCACCATGACACACCCCCTTATTCCCCACATCCTAAGGAAGTGGAGATCACACAAAAATACATGGAAACTGTCACCGGGCATATCTCCATTATACCCATTAAACCACAACCCGGATATATTAGGAGGCAGAGGGGCAGATACTATAATAAAACTATTGGGAATACAAAACCCACAAATAGGAGATTTACTGACAGGAGATACACCCCCTAAAATCAAGCAGTTCCAAATTACGAGAGGCCACCGTTCGCTCATGGAAGCAATGAGATGTGCACAACTGAGACACTCTATCACTCAAGCAGTACTACCATACTGGACCCCAAGAGGTTTAACCCCCTTTGAGCAATTATGCACGACCGCACAGCCGATAAAACGCACCCTATCACAAATTTATAAACTCATCCAAACTAACGACAATGCTCAGGAGACCCTAGCATACCAACGTAAATGGATGAAGGAACTTCACATACATATGACACACCAGGACTGGGCATATGTCTTCACAAAACCCATGCACACTTCCAGTAGCCTATCAAGACAAGAGTCCTTCTATAAACGTATCACTAGGTGGTATAGAACTCTGGAGGTACTCCATTTATATTGGCAAACAATTAGTGAACAATGCTGGAGATGCGGGGGAGAAGTGGGCAGTATGGGACATCTGTGGTGGTTTTGTCCACTCTTGAGAACATACTGGACAGAAGTGATCTCCAAGATCGATGAGATCTTAAAGATACCACACTCCCTAACCCCCTCCCAAGTTCTGCTAGGATGGCCTCACTCCTTTCAATGTATGAAGAGTCAGCGCCTACTATGGCTCCTTCTGGGAGAAGCAAACAACCTTATACCGGTCCACTGGAAGCAAAATGTACCACCCACAGCCAAACAATGGATAGAAAGGGTAGAGCACATGAGAGAAATAGAAATGCTACATTGGTCCACAATAGGCAAATACACTACATACCTAACCATATGGGAACCCTGGCTAAAACACTGGGCACTAGTACGGAATATACCACAATAGACGGAACAGTAATAACAATAGAAGACACCTTGTACCTTCCCCTCCCACCCACTTCCCATGTATATAATACTTACCCGCTCTCCCCACCATTCCCTACCCCAAGTTTCTCTGGTGACCCTAGTCACCAACCCTGCACCAAGGTCTCACGTAATACAAAATGATGAGACAATATCAGCGGTACTAATACGCAAAGAACAATGGGAATTGATGTATATTTGTCTATTTCGACACTGCTGTATAAAATGTATGTACCACAACCACCTACCTTACCTTCCCTTCTTGCCTTCTGTATCCCCGTTACACGTTGTGAAATAACAATAAAACTCGAATTAAACAAAAAAAAAAAAAACATGTCTATGCGTGAATAGGTCATATGTGTCGGGGGAAAAGTATGTGTAGTTTTTCATTTCCAGAAATGTAACACTCCATGAATCATAAAGCTTATGAATGTGGAGTAAGTTGGAAAGGGCATGGCTGTTTATTTTAGACACATGGGTAGGTTGTCTATTAGGCTCTCTTTTGATGTCTAGGGTAGGGTCTAACATTCAATTAAAGTGAATTGATTTTCTTTAGTGCTTTCCTCAGAAAGGTTATCTGATTGTCATTAGGAGTGTATACAGAGGCAATTGTGATTTGGAAGCTGTTCAGCATTCCCACTAAAATAATTAGGCACCCTATGTCATCCATATATTTCTCGGATGCCTGGAAAGCCCCGTCAGAGTGGAACATGATAGACACCCCCTTTGATTTGTGAGGAGAATAAACGTGATACGATTGGAGAGGTAACCTCTTTTTTAATTTTGCAAAAAGTGCAGATTTCAATAGATATTTATACTTTTATAAATTAACCTTGTTTTTCAAGCAGACAACAGGTCCAGTTACTTCCTGATTTGTTTAGTTCGGTGGAGCTAGGCTCAAGATGCAGCAATTGCCTAGAGCACCTGCCTTCAAAGACTTCTCATTGAACTGCATTGGGCAGTCTGTGGTTGGGCAGCCACAGACAAGGAAAATTGAGGTTTTGTATGAGTATATTAGATATACCCCAATGAAAAAATGCAGAATTAAATGCATGCATGTTCTCATCTGGAGTGTATAAACTAAACAGGGATTTGTATTTATTTTGCATTTGTGCAGTGGAGTTTCCTTTTAATCAGGTGTGTCATTATCACTCCATTCAGATTGGCAAGTTAAGTTTTTTGAAAAAAATATTTGTAATATCTCAGAGGGCTCTGTGTAGCGTCTTTATAGTATAATTCTTTATTTTGGTATTTATTTTAAAAATAAATAAAATGCTATCTAACTCTTATCTATATGTTAGAAAAAAAAGTTTCACTCTTTGTTCATGGTATCTGAAGTAAAACAAATAAAAATCTAAAAATTAAAATATAACTATTCTGTAAAATGATTAAAGCCTCAGTTATAGCCTCCATTGTAGAAATCACATTATAGATCAATCAATTATAGAAAGAATCAAACCTATATATTAAATATATTTTAAATTCAGTTTTAAGCTAATTTACATTACTTAACTTTTTGTAATAAGGTTGCTCTTCTCTTAGGGTTCATGATGAATTATTCTAAATTAATCCACAATAGGTGGACACAGCAATATTTTAGTACATAGCCCTTGAATTTGACAAAGGTACTGCAGTTCTGAAATGCTCCTGCTTTAGCTTAGTTTAAGATAATACTGATTCACTGAATCCTAAGTGCGAAGCACTTGCATTTGATACTGGCCCTATGAGTGCCTTTTCTACTTGTACTTTGACAACTTACATTTCAGGTCTGACACCTTTAGTCAAATAACTGATGTAGGGGATTGATATGTGGAATCTTTCCATTTCATGTATAATAGGGGAATTGTATTAAATTTATTACATACCTGCAACCTGTTTTCCTGTTTTTAATTGAAATTATGTTTCCAACAGCAACTCATGGTGTCCTCTGCCCTTTTACACTTACATGCCATGCAGAGGTCAAAGATTTATTTTCCACGTTCTCATAATCTGTGATTTTTTTAAAATCTTATTCACATGATGATGACAATCAACAGTAACGTGTTGACAAGACATGTGTGCTGCAATCTAATGAGATGTGCATAGGATGTGTCCATTAGGGAATAAAAAAAGAGGCGAAGATATTGGATCTCAGATGAGGTTGCCATGGTGCCACAGATCTTATTCCGCAAGCAACAAAAACATACAATAATGGGGTCAGTAATATAAGATTTTTCAGTTGTGTTATTTTTATTTTTTTCAAAGTTTAACTCATTTATATATTGAAAAAAATACCTTTATGAATATTTTAGTTTCATGTATTACAGTGACAAGATAGTGCATTGAATAAATTGGCTGTTAATCAATCTGTACAATGTTAATAATTAAAATAAGCATACCAATTTTTTTCCATCATTTCCTGAGCAATGATATACAATTCTATTTGATAACTAGTGACTTGGATACTTTCACATCTTGCAAAATGCAGATCAAAATACCTGAAACAGAAACTCAGAATTTTCCTGTTGTGAATATTTTGACATAGGTTACATAGTTACATACTTACATTGTATTAATATCTAAAAAAAAAAGAAAAATGTCTAACAAGTCCTGTGACGGACCGCCTGGCACCTCAACTGGATGCCTCCACCAATCATTGCTTCCTAGTACCTCAGAGTACTTCCAAGCACTCCAAAATACATTATCAGCACCGTAGTCCCCACTTCCACAGCTTGGCTGGGTTATCGCCGTCCTCCACACACCCTGGACCCAAGACCAGGATCCATCATCCAGTGGGCAGACCTCTCCTATTCCAGAGAGTGTAACAGGCTGCTCTTACAAGAGCAAGTGATTATAACCCAGAGGAGTATAGTGATATAGCAATACCCCAGAGCAGATACAGCTGTTCCCCCCACACATGAGATGAGACTCTATGTTGAGGGTAGGCAGGAACTCATTTTTTGGCAGCCACAACTGGCCTTATATGCAGGTCCCCATGCAAGGGGCACTCCCCTCTGGACCTGAGAGTAGACTACAGTAAAAACAACCACTGAATGACAGTGGCTCTCACGTCCAGGTCACTCCCATACACAAATTAGATAATCCCTCCTCTCTGCTTGGGAGATAATTGAATCAGGAACTGTACTAATCTAATCCAATTATTTCCATGCACAGAAAAGCATACTTTTTTTAACAGTATCCCGAAAGTACCCCCAAAACCCATGGAAACCCCACAAAAGTTACATCCACTGATAACCCCGATCTGGGTGACCAACATATCCAAAAAACACCCAGATCGGTTCAGGGGTTCAGTAATTTCCTGGAAATCATAGTTTTGACCAACCGCACGTATGGTCCCATGCCCAAAACAGTTCCATGAAATCAATGCCAACGGTCGGTCAACTTTGATAGGCTTTTACAGGTTTCCCTGCAGGGCCCATAGTCTGTGGGCAGGAGGCTGGCAAGCAAGCTCCACCAGGAGCTCGTGGCAAACTCACGTGGGAAGGGAAGTTTGTCACAAGTCCGACCTCTCAAAAGTCACTTTTTTGCTGTTGATCTAAAAGAAAAACTCAATTTGAAATCTTACAATAAAAAAAAAATTTAAAAAATTCTTGACGGCAAAATGGCAATCAGATTTATCCGTGGATCCACAAACTATTATCCTCCATATATTTACTATTATATACTTGAATATTCAGTTTTACCAAATGGGCACCCAGATGATAGTTATTGCTGAAAGCTTCCAAATTTAGTGGACTTGCAATAAATCATGGGCACTAGGCCATTTTTTCAATGAGTCATATGGTGAATTTAAAAAACAGACAATGGTTTATGACCTGGTACTTCTTAGTAAAAACATTATATTATCTTTAACAGATTTTGCAAGAAATTAAAATGTAGTATGCATAGTAAATGTGTCAGCGTTGCAGCTTAACAATTACATGCATATCTATGATCCAATCGAGAATATAATTCACATTATGGAAAGTAATATGTTAGATAACAGCATAGTACAGAAGCAGAGATCATGTGGACATGCATTAAAAGCTCTCAGCACAGTATTTGTTTAGTAAAATAGTCAGTGAGAAAAAAAATCTTCAATCTCCTCCTATATTATTAAAAAAAAATATATTGTAATTGTAGATTATACTAGCTTTATTGTAACTATAATCTTAATTTTATTTAATGACAGGAGGCAAATAAAGTCTCTCTTTGCTAGAACTCCTCTGCAGCACATTAACATAGAGAGAAAAACACCAAAGACAAAAAAGTAAGGAATCCATAAAAGGCTCCTCCCAACCAACTATTTCTTTTCACGCTGCGACAAAATAAAGTACATGAACAATACACCACTAATAAAAATAACAGCAGAAACAAACATAACATAACGATAAAAGTCATCCGAAATTGAAAAACGTCAAACCAGTGGAAGGAATCTTGACCTTATCCTAAAGAAAACTCGTATCTAAGAACTGTAGTCGAACCATTAAACTGAAACGAGATAAACTGAGTCAAAAACACTGATTAGTGAATGAAATGTACTGAGAAAACATGAATCCCCATCATCAAATACCGATAGTACAATAACCCAGATAAACACCCAACTCCCCTAGGAACACTACCAGACCTATCAACTCTAGCCCAGGAGACCGGGTGAAAAAAAACAGTAGGTCAATCAAAACTAACAAACAAACAAGGGGAGGGAGAAACTGGGAGGGAAATATTCGCCTCCTGTCATTAATAAATTTAAGATTATAGTTACACTAAAGCTAGTATCATCTACAATTTTATAAAATGACAGGAGGCTTCATATTTGCTGTTTTAATAAAAGAAACACTATCCCCCAGTCTAACTAAAATAGGCAAACCGTACCTGCTAGGAAAACCCGAAAATGTTCTGAAAATCGAATATAGTCCCGTCAATGCCAACCCCAAATCCATTGCACCGAGGAAGGAGACGAGACCAGATATCTCTGACAGAAGACATCAACAACTGACTGTAATGAGAAAGGCAAAGAGTGGAAGGATCGCTACCTATGAGACAGCGTCGTCGCCACGCAGAGTCTAGGCTGGTCGTGGAAATACGGGTAGCATATAGCTGTCGAATCCGACCAGTATGTATAGACATCCCGAAAGGAGAACCTTTCCGGAGAGGAAGAAACGCGTCGACATCTAAGGCCCTGACGCCCGACACACGTCTGAAAGAAATAAAACATAGCAAGAGGGAAAACCTTGACAAATGAAGGTCCCGAGAATCCGTCCAAACCTGGAAAAAACGACCAAACCACGTGTATGTGATAAAGAAAATAACACCTAGGCCCCGGAGGCC